ATACCACCTTTAAGCTTAAAATCTTATACTAAAAGATTAGAAACATGACACTACAGGGGAAAATACCTCCTACTTTGCTGTATGTCTTAGGGCATTTTATACAATTGTACAATCTGCTTACTGACTTTTCTGTGTAATTATAGAAAAATAAGGGAGGTTCTTATCTCTTACCTGCAACAAGAGATTAATAGCTAGAGGAATGGTTACAAATGAAAAAAAAAGAACACTTTCAGTTAATATAATCTTGAGGTATATGATAGATTGTAAAACAAACAAGAAGCTATAATGGTCTGAAATCCTTACAAATATCAGAATTTGGCAACATTATTCACTAGTAAGAACTGCAATACAATCCATCACTTTACTGGATGTAGCAAAACTAGTAATTCCTTTCACACTGCAAAGTACTAAAATACAGCCTGATAGGGGAATTTAAATTCAGGTTTTGCTGAAATGCTTTTTATTTTCATAATGTTACTAGACATTTTGGGGGAATGTTGGAATGATGAAGCTTAAAGGAAGATATATGTCCATATACTTGAGGATGACAAGACTCACCTGGAATTATTATGATGAATGTTGCAAGCCCTTGCCATTAGCACCACAATCATTGGTCGAAAGGCCTTTCCTTTCCCGTCAAAGTAATATTCACACATTTCCCTAAGTTCTGCTGTAGATACAAGTAATTCCTGTAAAAGAAAGGAAAAGAATGTATCAGCATTCAAGTTACAAAGCCACTCTGTTGGTGTGAGCAAACAGTATACGTGTACAACGTTCCTGCCTGTATTCATTCCACTTAATACAAGTTGCAGTTGTTTTTAAGATTATTTTTTCATGGTAATTGGAGATACAAATTAACATTCCACCTATGTAAATCATGAGAAAACAAAAATAAATTATGGTTCTGTAAGATATAATGATCTCCTTGTTTAGGTTTCAGAAAGCTGATTCTCTACATTAGGAGCATTCCTTCAACGACTGTTTTCCTATGCTGTGGTTGCTTTTAAAGTCTGATTCTTTACAACATCCCAGAAAAGTCATCAAAATCCCTTACCTTTTTAATATCTTCGTAGAGATTTTTCAAGTCTTTTCTACCGAGCTGAAAAGGGTCTTGATATTTTTCATCACTAATCGTCTTACTGCAGCTGCACATTTGTGATTTACTCGTGTGGTGACACCTGGCAACAGTGTTTTTTCAAAATAACAACATTGTTAAAAGCAAACTTTTCCTAAGCCTCTAAACAGAAACATTTCAAAGCACTTCCTTCTCTCCACTCATGTAAAATTTAAACAAAAGGCTGAAAATTGAACAGAAGGCATCAGAACATTTTTTCAGCCTGCTAATGAGGAACAAGGACAGCACAGCTACATGTCGATGGCTGCACACTCTAGGAGTTGGCAGAATGCTGCATTTGGAAAGCAATTAAGAACCTTTCCAACATGCTTAATAGATTACTGTTATTCTGAGAAATAAAAACCTCTACATTGCTTTCAGTGCATCCCTTTGGCATACGCTATTTATGGGATAGTGTATATTTGCAGATGAGGTCTTCACCTTCCTGTAACAGAACGACTTTCCTTCCTTCCTCTCTGCTCTTCTCCCTCTTCAATATCCTCCTGGGAAAATATTTCTGACTTGGCTTTTAAAATTCTCCTTTACACAGCCACCAGCTTTTCATAGTCCTTAATCAAAATGAAACCAATACTTTCAGGTAACATAAAGATGCTTTACCTGGTCCACAATACAGGGGTAAAACCTTCAACTGTATGTCTCAGGATTCAAAAGGCTTAAAACTGATTTTCTGAGGTTCCCCGGAGTTTAAATTTATGACTCATATTATGTGTCCTGTCTTTTCAGGTCCTTTTGAAGAGCTCTTGTTTTTGCCCAGTGCTTTCCAGCATACAAGTATTTAAGGTTCAGCTCCACGCCATAATGGCAAAAGAGGAGTCTGGCCAGAATATGCAACTATATATTAGAGCAAATAATCTTATTTACAATATCAGATTACAACTCAAGGCTTTAACAATGCACTTCACCCAATAATTTCATCTTTACCCACTACACAGCAATGTGGATTTCCAACTTACCGCCAAAGTATATGACAAAGTTTTGGAAACGACAAAACTGTACTTCTTTGGAGTAAGTGGCACATCTGTAAAACGGAAAATCAAGGTTAATTTAAAGTCAAGATCTTTAAACTTGAAACAGAAAACATTTGATTACAGAAATAAATGTACGTCAATTAAATATTGTTGCAGCTCCCCCATTTAACAACCCAGCAGCAAAGGGAGCCTTATAATCTCCTTTCATACATGTGATGTAACTATCAACACGTAGATTAACTTAATCTGACTCTTCTGTTCAGGAATGTTGAACTTTCTTCCCTTGCTGGAAGGGCCAGGAAGGGGTATCAGTTACCTTCAGGAGTTGCACTAATAACATCTTTTCTATACGAAGGTATGGAAGGTACATATGGAAGGTAAGTTTCTTTCCAAATGCTCCTCACTTGCAGATAAACCTAGAGAGCACCAGCCGCGGCACAGAGAACAGTGTAAGCCCTGTTCCTGCAAACCACCACACCAATTAAAGAACATGCCCTTATTTTCCCCGAAGCAGTTTGAGTTCAGCTCGCTCCTCATTATAATTTACACTCACTCTTCTTCCCTGCCGGCTGTCAAGAACTGAGCCGCCTAAGCCAGCAATCTCTCCCAGGATCTTTCCTGGGAGATGGAGCCCGGGGGAGGCCTCGGGCACAGGTACACGATGCCAGCAGAGATAGGGAAAGGGAACAGCGGCACGTGGCCCGCGTGCTGGAGCACGTCCAAGGAGCGGCTCCGTGCACTCACGTCGCCGCAGGCATGGGGCCCATGGGCTGGGGCACCCCCAAAGCCTGCACAGAGCACCTCGGGAAACCTAAAGCTGCACAAGAGATGCCTACATTTGCTCCTCGCGTCTCCAAGTCTCCTCGGATGCGGGTTGAACCCTGTTCCTCCCTCCTTGCATGCAGGGAGCACAACAAGAGGCCACACTCGTAGCTCCCTGCTCGAGCGGGGCTGAGCAGAGAAGCGCTGCAATAAACCCCGGTTTACTACAGACTTGCCGCTCAGAGTCCAACGGGCAGAGGTGCCAGTCCCGTGACCAGGGCGTTTCCGAGGCCTTCCCTGCTCCTTGTGGCCTTCCGTGTGACAACGGCTCCTCCCGTGTCCTTGGGCGAGGACATGCGCGGCCTCCCTGCTCGGCCTCCCTGGCACCTCGTGGGGCGCAGGCCTCGGCCTCGCGGGGTGGCGCGTGGCAGCCGAGCGGCAGGAGCCGCCAAAACCAGCCCAACCTTGACCAGAGCGCAGCCACAACTGCCCCCGCAGCCTCTCACGAACGGAGGACATCACCGCCAGGTTCCCGCCTGGGGAAGGGCCCGCGAGGCTCTTCAGCCCCGTCCGAAAGGCGGGCGCGCGGTTATGGCCGCGGTAGCCGGCGGTCCGGGCCGGGCGCTGCCGCCCCCTCCGCGCCGCCCCGGCCCCGCGGGCCCCTCC